CCCCCCCCGCCCAGTGGGAATTTTAAAAAACATGTTTTGGTTACCTTTACTCGGGAGACAGACACTAAACAAAAATAAGGGGCCCGTTCAATAGTACTGCGGTGATAGTCATATTTTAAGACTTTTGTTTTTATCCACCTATTCATTTATTTGATTCTTATTAAATATTTAGTAAATGCCCCCTGTACTCTCAGGCACTAACTTAGTACTGGATTGAAACAGTGAAAAAAATCGAACGGATGTATCTCGTCCCCACAAGCCTTGACTTCCAGGAGAGGAGGTAGGCATTAAGCAAATACATACACACATACATGTAATTTCTGAAGGACGCCATAAAGGAAAAGAAATATCATCCTCTGAAAATCAGACACTCAGTAAAGCCCGCTCCGTGCATGCCACATCTGAGCTAAGACCTCAAGGGCAAGCAGGAGCTAGCTTGGGCAGAGAGACCATTCTAGGCAGAGGCAGGAGCACGAGGCGGAAAAGCACTTGGCAGGACACCTGGCGGGCTAGGTCAGTTAAGCTTCCGACTTTTGATTGCGGCTCAGGTCAGGATCTCCTGGTTCGTGAGTTCAACCCCCATGCAGGGCTCTGCAGTGACACTGCAGAACCTGCTTAGGATTCCCTCTCTTTCCCCTCCTCTCTCTTCCCCTTACCAGTGCGCGCTCTCTCTCTCTCTCTTTCTCAAACTAAATAAATAAACTTAAAAAAAAAAAAAAAAGGAGAAAGAAAAGCGCTTGGCAAAGAAAAGGCTAAGCTCTTTGACAGCAGAGGGTAAGGATACAAGAGGGGGCTGGGGTTGGGGGAGGAGCCGGGTCACGTGGGGTCCTGTAAGTGGCCTTCCAATCTTCGGGCTTATTTTCACTGCAGTGGGAATTTACTGAATGGTTACTGGACCACAGGGCAATGACATGAGCCACCAGAGTGGGAGCAATGGCCTAGGGAGGAAGAGGGCTGTCCCCAGAGCCTGGAAAGAAAGCCTGGAAAGTCACTGCAGTGACTGCAGTGCAGGCCAGAGGAGTTAGGAAGCATGGGGTGGGGGGGGGGGGCAGGGGTAAATGCAGAGGACGTGGTGGCTCATTGATGGGGAACGGAAAGGCAGCAAAGGTGGCAGGGAAGGCGCCGGGAGTCCCAGGCTGAGCAAACAGATGGGTGAAAGCGATATCTGTGGGACAGGGGAGGGACAGCTTTGGGGAGCCTGCAGTCCGACAGACAGCAGGGCTCCTCATGCGATGCCATTGCTTCCTGCCGAGTTGGAGGAATACACAAAGCCTTAAGGGAGCAGAAAAGAAGGAGCCTGTGAATCTGGCCAGGAAAAGGAATCGCAGAGGAGTGGTCATTGGAGCGGGCTCCTGAATATGAGGAGTGTCTGACAGACTGAAACGGTAGAAAGGCTTCTAAGAAGAACAGTATTTTAATACCTGTGAGTGATAATGCCAATCCTATGAAACATTACAAGGATTAAATAAGATAACTTACGTGGAAATACCTGTAACTGTTCTAGAGTTTACTGATGGCCTTTTTACATTCCTGTTACCAACCCATCCGCCAGCCAGCATTGTACGTGTTCATCTTGTTCTTCACCAGCCAAAAGGAGAACAAAACTCAAATTGCCTTCCCCGCCTCTTCCTAATATACCTGAATAAGTATATGAAATGGGCCGCACGTGTGGCCCTACCTGCCCTAGTGGTAACTGAAGGGCGCAAAAGAAGAGTTCAGTTGTAAGGCTAGCTATTTTTATGCATTGCCTTTTCAATTATGATCTTGTAAGATTTTAAAGTAAAGTTCTTTTTGAAAGCTCCTACTCTCTCCATTTGTCTGTCTGCCTCCCGCAGCCATTAGCACAGGACCCAGCTCAAAGAGGTGCTCAACACAAGTTAGTGAGACAATAGGAACCAGCAGAGTATTTATGGGGTACCTCCCACTTTCCAAAACGATATGAGATCTGGGGGCACAGAGATAGTTAAAGCAGAGGCCCTGTCCTCAAGAAAATCAAAGACATAAATCGAAAGGAACAAAAACACACGCATACATACTTACGTACAGTATGATAAATGTGTCCAAATAAATACATATGCTCTCCTGCCCCCCAAAATTCAGAAGTTCACAGAATACAGCCAAACCAAAATATTTTTCAATCCATAAGCATTTGCAGGCTTGAAATCTCCAAAGCAGAAACTTAAAGGTACAAAAGCAGACTAAGGTACAGTCAGTGGAACTCCTTGAAGTTACCCATAAATATTCGCCAAGCCTTTCCCCAGTCCTACACCCAGTCATAAATCCCCCTGCTTCTTTTCAAGAACTTTTACATTTGATCAACGAGGCAGGGTGATGTTTAAACCAGGCCATTTGGAATATTCGATTTTCATACATAGTTTTAAGATTTTAATTTCCAGTCTGCAAGCCGGCTCGGATTTTCCCTGTCCTGAAATAAATCAGGATTTCCAAGACATGAAAGCAGGCTCCGAGCACAGAAGGGCTTTCTGAACGTTCAGCCTGGTTGCACTGCTCAGTCAAGTCATACTTACAAACAACTTACCTCTCACCTCATCTCAGTCCTGGGGGGATAGCCTGGAAAACTGGCAGCTAATGTGGTGAGCGAAAAATACCCAGCACTCAAGATCAATCTGTCAAAAAGAGGCAAGAGCCATTCATCAAAGGAGAGAGGGACAAACTCAAAGATGTTGTGAAACATTTACCAACCAGTCCAAAACTAATTGGCCCCTCTACTTAATCTCCTTCTCCCCTCCACGTCAAGCCAGTGGCCACAGAGCCATAGAGGGATAGAAGCTCGTAGCTGTAGAATGGATGATGTAAGCAGGATATTGCTAATATATCACAGAATCAGAGCGTGGTAAAGCTAAACAGGTCTTTGGAGTTCATTTAGCCTGGTTTGGATAGAGAGCACTAAGGAGCAAAAAGAGTCCTGAACTTGGGTCAGACTGGACTAGGGTTCTAGTCCTTCACTCGTATTAAGTTCAAGCTATATGACCTTAGGGAAGTCACTTCAACCTGTGTGAAAACTGCCTCATCTGTCAAAAGGAAAAAAAGGTCTCACTCATAGGGATACCAGTAAAGTCTGATAATATAAGTAAATGCACTTGGAAATGCCACTGAACATTTAATTGGGTGAAAAGATATTATTATTGCAAAGAACCCAATAAATGCTACCTGAATCCATTGACTAGTAGACTTAACTGAAGCTTCACCTAACTGATCTGATGGAATTGATAGCTTCTATTCATTTTGCAAAAGATGGAATCATGTCCCTGGCACAGAGAATGTCCAGTGGTATTGTCCTTGTCTCTCCAGCATGCTAGAAACTTATCTCCCACCAGGTCAGTGATATGATGATCACAAGTCACTTATATTTGGTTACCTACTCTTTTTTTTTTTTTTAATTTTTTTTTTCAACGTTTATTTATTTTTGGGACAGAGAGAGACAGAGCATGAACGGGGGAGGGGCAGAGAGAGAGGGAGACACAGAATCGGAAACAGGCTCCAGGCTCTGAGCCATCAGCCCAGAGCCCGACGCGGGGCTCGAACTCCCGGACCGTGAGATCGTGACCTGGCTCAAGTCGGAGGCTTAACCGACTGCGCCACCCAGGCGCCCCTGGTTACCTACTCTTTATTCTGGTTGTATTTCTGAAAAATAATTACTAAATTCAATTACATACTGTGTAAACTACTAAAGTATGAATTTTTATAAAGAGATTTGTTGTTTATATGAAAATACAGGTGATTGCTACGTAAACATTTTAAAGACAGCACGGCAAAAGTCATTATTGCAAATTGATAGTGAACGAGATTATTGTAAAAGACTAGAAAAAAAATCACAGAAATCTAAGAGGCCTGTACATTAAAATTTCTTCCAAATGTCTTTTATATCTTGCATCACTTTAAAGAAACTTTAAAGTGCAGACACAGCTTATGAACATAACCATTCAAGTGAGTCAACGGGGCACAGCTAACATCCATCAGGGCACACATGGACAAAGTAAAAGCCTTAGCCCTACTTTGCAAGAAAGTTATATGAATTTTGCACTAATAGGATTCTCATCCTAACTAAATCAACCACTGATGAACCAACGACGAGTTTTAAACGACTTGTAGGTAATGATTTATTGTCACTTACATACATGACTATCTCCTGATCTGTAGGAGCACTGAATATAAATCCCATTTAATCAGAGCTCCTTGCCACTGAGGAGCCCACAATCTAGTTACACCCTAGTAAAATGTGAAACACTTGCAGTTCAATTATTGACATACAATTTAACTTAAAATTATCCTTCAAGTGCTTAATGGTATCAAGAGAAGAAGCTAGATTTTTACAAATAGTTGGAGGGGTGCCTGGGTGGCTCATTCAGTTAAGCGTCCAACTCTTGATCTCAGCTCAAGTCTTGATCTCACCTCCGGGTCGTGAGTTCAAGCACCACATAGGGCTCCTCGCTGGATGTGAAGCCTACTTAAAAAAAAAAAAAAAAAAAAAAAAGCTGCAACACTATTGTTCCTATCTGCCACTGCCATAAACTACCTGACTTTGTTATCCCATCAATTCAGGGATAATGTTTCTTTATTATCAATTCACCGCGAGGGCTTAGAACAGAGTGGGTTCTCAATTGATCTGAGCAACTGGCATGAAAGGTCTGAGAAAAACATACACCATACTTTGAAGGGGGATTAAATAAAGGGCACAATCCAGGAGGCAGGAAGAGACTGAGCGAGAGCCCGAGAGGAAACGCATCCTGGATCCATTTTTTTCGTAAATATTTCTTGAGCATCTTCTTAGACATCATAACCTCTCTACCTGTGTGCCAAATGTGACCTGCAGCCTTGTTTAGCCCAAGCAATAGGGATTTTTAAATGTGAACTAGCTGCCAACATTAATGTTTCAGTAGATACCATGTGCAGATTAGCATCTTCTCTTAAAATATGAGAAGGTCCACCAACACCAGCATATTCCCACATGGAAGCAACGAGCAGGCACTTTCCTAGGCAGCCACTCTTGCCGGCAGATAAGACATGACCTCCGCACTATGTCATGGCCGCCATTGCTCCCTGGTTGGCTTCACTCATTTACGTTCCCGTGTGCCCCTTTGGCAGTTAAGGTTTTGACCCCTTCCTGACCACGTGCCTTGCACTCCGGTGATGCTGGGCCCCTGCCTGTAGGGGCTACAGAATAACAGGGAGTGATCCAGAAAGGCAGATGACATGAACCTGAACAAAAAAGTGGCAGTGGGAAAGAAAACAGAAATATGTGCATTCCAGACATCTGTCAAAGACTAAAATCGTGGAGATCAGTGAAAGATCTTAGCTGGCCTTAAGGGGCCATGCTAAGTGATGAAGGGACGTAGGAAGGTAATATTTCCTGTGAGCGTGGTCATGCAAAAGGTGTGGGGTTTTGTCCTTTAAGTAATGGGGGAAAATGAAAGAACAATATGCTCAGATCTGTGCCTGAAAAATGTCCCTCTAGCAATAAGGTGGACGTTGGATTGGAATGGATTGGATTGGGACACTTTGAGAAGGGGCATTTAAGAGAACGTGGTGATGGCCCAGGTGGAAAAGGATGAGGGACCCCAGCTGCAACAGTAGAGGAAAAAAAGGATAGATTGAAGAGAAATTTCTGAATTCTAAGATTAGCAGATTATACAGACATGTCTTTTCAAGGCGAACATAACCTCTGGCTTAATATTAATCATTTAAAAGACAACATAGTGACAATATAACTTCTACTAACTCAGTTCATTTTGGCTATGCTGAATAGTCTGTACTCAATGGAAAGGGAAATTGCTATTTCTGTCTCTTTATATTTATATCCACGATTCACCTCTTTCCACGAAGGATTCGAGGTGCCTGGAAACTCACTAAATGAAATGCAGCATCTGACAAGTGGCTTCTTCCTAAGAGAACTGACCTGGCAGCATAAATCAGCCTGTCCTGTCAAATGAGACAAGTTCAAGTTGAAGATAGCAAGAAACATCCTCTACGTCAGCTTGAGTCTGCCAGTTACGGTCCCTTCCTTTGTCTGGACAAACATATGGTGAGAAAGTGTCCAGTTTGCTTTACTAAGTTGAGCCTTTCTCCGGGAAAAGGAAGAAATATTGAAACCGGCAGTGAGTTTCAAACAGAGCTTACACACCCTTTCCTGAGGACACTTAAAATTATATAAAGAGACACATAAATAAATCAAAACTTTAAACAAGGCAACACCTTAATCTTAAAACAAATGGACTCTAAGGAAAGCGCAGCTCTCAAAATATGTGTGTGTGTGTGTGTGTGTGTGTGTATCAATTCACATTTGTGCACAGAGCATTTTTGCATTCTAAATCTCACCTAATTTTTTCATAACAATGGGCAAATAGGCTAGAAAAGAATTATTATCTCCATTTCACAAATGAAACACTGAAGGTCAGAGATTTAAGGACTTCTGGAAAGTCGTACACCTTTAGTTCTTAGTGACAGAATTACATCTAAGCATCAGTTTTACTAATTCTCATTTTAAGGAAAATGGGGTAGAAAAAAAATAGGAGGAGCTAACATGGAGTTGCTATGGGTTCCCTGGTGTTAGCCCCAAAATGCACATTATATACATTATCACATTTAATTCTCAAACCCCCTATGACAGAGGCAGTATATGGTTCCCATTTTACAGATGAGGAAACTGAAGCTAGATTTGGTGATTATGTCAAGGTCACACAGATAATTATTGGTGGAGTTGGGATTCAAACCCCAGCGTTCAGTGTCAAATCTAGTTCTTAACCAAACAAACATCTATTTAAATGCTGCCTCTGCTAGCTATTAACTGTCTAGCCTTGGACATATTACTGTACGTTTGGAGCCTCTGTTAAATAAAATTGGGGGGAGGGGGTTGCTGGTTCAGCATCTTACTCTTTGTAGGCCACCAATAAACATTAGTTTCCCTTCTTTCAACCACAATCTGTTGTCACTGGTCATTTTTATAACAGAAATGACCATGTTAATCTAACATCATAAAATGGTAGTGCTTCTACTGACAGGCAGAAAATAGAGAGTGTATCTTAAGCTCATCTTAGAGTCACATTTCACTGCTATTCTCAAACTTTTCTCCCCAGGTTCTTCTTAGGGTAGAATTAAAGTGAGGAAACAAAACTACACTTGTTCATAAAATTAATTGTCTTGCCAACAAAAGCCCATTTGTTCTGGAATTCCCAAATGACCGGAGCATATTAAGTCTGTGTTGCTTAGTAATAGTATAGCTTAAATAAGTAAAATCTTGTTCATCAAAGACGCGTTCCAGAAAAATCATCCTTTAAACCTGCAGGCTTTAGAACTTCAAGACTGAGGCACTGGAATTTGAAACTATGTCATGTTTGAAATGGAGAACTCTAGTATTGTGGTTTCCAACCCTTTCAGGTAAATATGCCCCTTTTTAAACATAAAAGAATTTGTGGATTGCCCCCTGTCATAAAAAGAAAAATAGTATTACTGATTTATTAAACTCCTGATTTTTAAAACTGCAGTTATAAAAGTGGCTGTGTTCATTAATGCAGAAATTAGTTTGTATGTTGCCAATTCTAAGTATCTAATACACTTAGGTCAAAAAAATAATAATACTCTGAGCCGCTTAGCTATTTTTTGCAGCATA